TGGCTCTGGCTAAATCTGAACCATGACTTTAGCAAAATTACTTTCAAAAGTTCAGAGAACTAATAGGTACGATTTTGTGGCTAGAGTCTTCAAAAGAGGCTAATAACTGACAAGAAATAGAAAATTATAAAAACCGAAATTCTGATCAAGCAATTGCAAATAATGTCAATGCTGAGTAGAGGGAGAAGAACCAAAGAAATCAGTTTAAAGTGTTTTCTCATATGAGCTCATATTAAAAATACATAACTTTAAGGGCACATATTCAAGGAAGAATAGAAAATAACAGTGTGAACCTGTAAGAACAGGCCAGGTTTGGTTTAAACAAGGTAACAGCAAAAGGTTTTCAAAGCAAGATCAAGAAAAGTTAAGCACCCTGACCATGTAAAAAGACAGAGAAGACAGACCTTGTCCAACTCCTATCATGATTCCCTTTTCTGTTAGAAGGGTTTTCAACCTGGAAAGGATATAACAAAAATCCTAATAAACAAAATGCAGCCCAAGGAAGGTGAGGGCAGTCTATACATGTAAATGCTATTAAACACAGGAACTATAGTCCAAGAAACAAATTCTAACATGGACTACAGAAATGCAGTTTATAAACATTTAGGCACTAGAAATTTCCATAAGTCTTAAAAAAAGTTTTATTTTCATCTTCAATAGTTATACCTTTTTGATAGGAAAAAAAATCTGAAAGTTTTCTTGACAATAGCAAAGCATTTTACAAAGTTTTAACAACATTATTATATATATTGTAAGGTTGGTCTGCAGCTAAGCAAACAACAAGAGGGGTAACTAATCACTTGGAGACCACCAGAAGAATAACCTCTAGTAGGTCTTGCCGGTCCCATTTAACTTACTTTATCAGTAATTTCAAAAAAGAGGGGGAAAAATCTCTAGTAGGCCCTGCCCTGTTTGATAGATTTTATTAGCTGCTTGGATAGAGACAAAAAATTGATATGTTTATGAAAATGTGCAGATGATATACAATTGTATAGAAAACCTAACACCCTGACACTTTAGCACGGGGTTAGGTTTTAAAAGCCTCATTAGTATGGAGGGCATGTTAGCCATTATTGAAATTTGAAGGACGTGTGTATGAATGGGTTGGTGGGTTCTATGTAACCCCAAAGTAGAATCACTGAATAGAAGATATACAGGAACAAATTTCAGGCTGAAAAAAGGATAAACTTTCTAAGCATGGGACAGACAACTAGTTCTCGGGAGGTATGAGAGGTGAACTGAAATCAGTAGTTTTCAAATTAGTTTTAATAAAAGAAGCACTGCACTGAAAAAAACCTTACCCTGAAGACTTATATACGAAACAAATAAAGAGAAAAAAACAGCTCAAGATGAAATTCCCTATTATATCTCATGCTTAACTATTCTGGAATCAGATCAGGTGATCTCTTAAGTGGTTCATATTTGATTAATAAAACTATTAATTTCTCAAGATTTATTACCCTAGATGGTTTAGATGGTCTCTCAAATGGAGTGAATGAGAGAATCTGTTGGGGGTGTGGTGAAAATCAGAACATATACATATATATATAAATCGAAATAAGGAATTATACTTTATGGGTTGAGAGTAGCAGTACCTGCAATTTTCAAGAGTTTGTCATGTCAGAGCCATGAGCAACTATAATGCTCCCAGAAACCGAGGTATTTTAACAACGCTTTTAAAAGAATGCAAAAGTTTTT